GTGACATTTAAAGCTGAGTAAACAGCAGGCCAACTTTTTTTCTGGCTTTTCTGTGCAGTATCTGGTGGCTTATTTATATTAGACCTACATATTGAAACAGCATTGGTTTTCAAAGCAGCATTGAAAACTCTTTGCAATTCCTTTGTCTTCCCCTCAGACTTGGCAATATTTGGAGTCTGTGGTTTTGCACAGTAACTGTAGGAATCATGTGCATCTGATGCGCCTTTTCTTTAAAAGCTTCTAGTTCTCCTATTAGTGTGTTCAAACCTTTATTTTGAATTTTGAAGGCTAAAATCTGACAGCTGGTGTTCAGTATTAGTCTCTTGAAATGAAGCATGTGTATGTGTAAGTACCATTGTACGCTGAATTTCACTCCATTCCTCATTTCATATGCTTGAGTCTGATAATGTGACTGTGAGTGTCTTGCAAGGAAACAGTCCTGTTATCCTGGTCTGAAGTTAAAATAGCGTGTTTCCCTGTGCCCCGACTGTTGTGTGGAAAGAGTTATATACTGCTGCTTCTGCATTTCGTAGCACTAAGCTATAACTGCCGAAGCCTCCTCAATGCCCTTTGATCCAGAAAGCACCTATGCTTGGCTGAGCTTCTGGGTAACTTGTGCTTCAAAGAACCTGCTGCCCTCTTTCCTCATAAGATTGGGAGAGGTAACAAATACAGTTTTCCTGAACTATCTTTCTAGCAACAAAAGCATGAGCTCTTACCATGGATAAATTTGGAGGAAAAGAATTTTTTCTGTGAGCTAAAATGGTCTTTTAAACCAGCATTCAGTTTGCTGTGTTACGTTGTAGCAAATGCAAAAGTAAACAACCTAAAGCAGTTACTTTTAGGTGCTGGCAACCAGATAAACTGACTGTTGGTGTCCTGTTACATGACAAAGCTAGCAGTAGGAACAATGAGTAGCTGTTTCACTGCAACCTGATGATACGGAGTTTGAAAAGGTCTGAACACTGCTCCATTTAGCTATGAGGTCTCTATGAAATTGTGTCCTTTGCTTTCATTGTCTTAGCCCGATCAGATCTCTGCTCCAGTTGCTTGTACACTTACGCAATGGCTGCTGTTGTAGTAGTAGAATAATGCTTTGAGATAATGTGTACGCTGTAGCCTTACTGTACCAGCAGTGAAATGTTTCAGGGACAAAATAAAATCCAGTATTCTCTTTGGGAGAGGTGCCCTTACTATCCTTTAGGATATTCTTATCATACAGAGCTGGTTTGTGCTAGTAAGAGCTTGAGGACAAGTATTTTTCCTTTCAGTTGCATTGGCAATTAGGAAATAACATATGTTATTTTGTGTCTGTTCCGAAAAGGCATTGTTGAAGTGCTCTGAAAAAAACAGGCCATCGGGCTGGCTGTTTGCATGGTCAGCCTGAATGACCAGAAGAATTGGATTACTTATGTGACCCTGAGGGAGCACTGAACTCTGTGTGGTGCTTGCCCTAGGGACAGTTCAGGACTCTGCACACAAGTATTACCTGCTGGCCAGCTAAAATCTAGATCAACTAAAGTCTTAAAGATGTCTTTAGGAAAATCTTAGTTCAATTGTACACTTGATGATTAGCCTGCTGTGCTTCATAGAAGTACAGGAGAAATTAGAGCCAAACCCAGACCTAATAAATGAGGTCTGAGCACTTGCCAGGTGGCAGTTTCGGACAGGACGCCAAGTGGGTTTTGCGTATGTGCTAGAATTGGGTTTGATGCATGCTGTGTCCTGCGTGTGTGTCAGTTTTCACCCAGCCCATGCTAGAATCCAGTCCTTGCCGTTAAGATGAGTGAATGACCCTGCAAGCCAATTTGAGTGGAAGTGTGCTGGGGAAATAGATGTATTAGGTGCACTTAACTAATATGGCAGCAATGGATCAAATCAGTTGGCTACTTTATTGAAAACAGGAGTATGCTCAAAATAGTAGCTAGCTGTTGTCACATTTCAATATATATGTCAATACTCTTCTGGGTTGCTTGTTTTATTTTGTTAGCGTTTCTGGAGCAATTACTGTCATGGTATGGCACAGTTTTAACTCTGTTTTTTAACAAAATAGAAAGTCAGGCCAGTGATTCCCTTCCCCCTTGCATTCTCTTGCAAATGAATTCAAGTATGGCAGTGCTTATGCATGGTCTGTCATTGCCCAGTCAGAAAGGTGAAATAGTTTGAGAGACCCGATAAGCATCACTTTTAACTGGGTTATTGAGCTAGGTGCTTTAGTGCCTGCTCTTCCAGGTTGGTCAGTACCGTTCTGATTTGAATGTAACTGGAAGTGCTGCTCTTATTGTTCCAAGGAGGCTAGGGG